AAAAAAAAATAATAATTTAAATTTAATTTAAAAAAGACATTTTAAAATAATAATTCAAAAAACAAAAGAAACCTCGGCTTGCTTCCATTTTCAACAGCAGATATGATATTTACTCATTAATAATAATATATTAACTAAGTCTGTTATTTTTTTATCTAGAGAGTTGATTTACTGCAGTATATTTTGTTATTCCAATTATGGAATTTTATCAGTTTTATAAATCAGACCAGAAGTTATTGGAAAATCGAGACAATAATTATAAGTGACCTCAGCTGATTCACGTGATTAACCTGTAATTTAAGCCTTTTACTTTAAATATCAGCAACAGGATTATTTAGATACAATATTTAATTTAGATTAAGCTTCTTGACCTTAATAGTCCATTTAATAAATATGAAAAGGGAAGTATTGAAAATAACTGTTCTTAAATTATAAAGTGAGACACTCGATCGCTGTTTATAATCATTCATTTATTGTCTAGAAATGTGACAAATGGGCCCAGTATTCAAGGTGAGACAGCCAGTAGGAAAGTTCAAAACGTTTATTAACACAAAAAGACACAGACAACGTCTGTAGCGCGGGGCGCAACCCATCACTGATTCTGGTTTAACAGTTCAGTCCATTCTCTGCGTGATCTAGGCAGGTTCCATCTGATCGAGTGTCGAACGGGATCCGTCCAGGGTGTCCCCAATCAGAGCAGCAACCACAGAAAGCTGACAGGAGACTGATCCTGGTCAGAATCGGACAGTTCTGAGATCCAGAAGTCCTCAGCTCGATCAAGGGTTCAGATCCACACAGGAACAAAACAGAGAAGGTGATCCAGGAATCCAAAGAGCTTTTCGGCAGGTTCAGAGTCCAGAATCAGACACGCACAGAAGCAGACAGGCAGGCTCGCTGGTTGAGGGAACATAGACGAGACGTTGTTCTAGGATTTATGCAGGACTTTAAACTGGTCTCCTCCTAGGAGCCAGGCTTACAGGAATAAAACCGACCCTCCTCGTGTTCCGAGCTAAAACCCTGAGGGCTCCGCAGAGAGGGACCAGAACAGGATCAGAAGACGAGACAAACATGAAACCTCTCAAACCACTGGCCGTCAGGAACCAGGACATGAATCAGAGAATAAATTAAAATTACCAAACAGACAAACGGAAAACAAATAATGATCCGGCCCCGATCGCTCAGGCTGAACCGAATTTAAAGGACCCAAAGCAGGTGGATGAGATGAGTGATAATTAGAAACCCGGGAACAGTTGGGCAGGTGAGGGAAATGAACAATTAAGCTGAGCCATCAGGGCCGATCATGACATTTATAATTATATTTGCAATCAAGAATCTCAAAGCAGTAGAAAATTTGATGTTTTTAATATAAAATATTGTTTTTAATTAAGTAAATTAAAAGTAGAGGTACTGGGGTACCGTGCATGTTCAAGAATGTTAAATATTCTAAAAAAATGTCATTAAAGTCGGACAGATCTTTAAATGAAAATGACTCCTCTATCATACCAACATTGCTTGAACAATGACTCTTTGTCACACAGGATTACCGTGTTGTTCCATAAAACAGAGTCACGTGGAGAAAAGTTAAGCATAAATAATTAGAAATTTTATGGATATCAAACTCACATGACAGTAGATATGGAAGTACATCTATTGCTTCAAGTAGAGATCGAGGTAAAAGTTGTTGTTTGGCAACAAAACTGATCTGACCCTTAACTGATCAGAAATATTTCTGGTTCTCTGAGCCGCTTCTGATGTTATCATCCCTTCCTTCTTCTTTGACTATTTGAGCTGAAGTAACGCCTAAATTTCACCACTGTGAGATCAATAAAGTCAATCAATCAATCATTAAATGGCCGTTATTAGCTGTTATCAGTCCCATAGATTGGCTTCAGATTGTGCCTCATACCCACCAGTAGGCTCAGTAGATGGTTATCACTGAATGAATCCTAACCCAAAGGTCATTTCTTTTTTGCCCACTAAATTAATTAATCTATTTATGTGTAATATGAACATTGTTTTACTGGCTTCATTTATTATAAAAAAGAAAAGTATCGGCATGTCGCTCATATCAAACAACCCCTCCCAAAAAAATCTCATATCCTTTTAAGTTCTTTTTGAACATCGCATTAAAACCGAGTGACTGAAATAAGAGGATCTCATAGCTTTAAAATGCTTTTTCTTTTTTTTTTTAAAGAAGGTAGGGTGTTAATAAAGTCAACAAAAAGTATATAGTAGGTAAATAGTAAATGTAATTAAAGGTTTTAGAGGTGTCCGAAACGGCTTTTATCGAGAGTACGCTGCATATTCAATGAGTCGATGCAATCAGCTGGTTTTCCTTTGATAGAAAACTTTAAATCAATCTGACTGGATGATCTGGTTAAACTGGAAAGTGCCTTGAGATGACATGTGTTGTAAATTGGCCCTATAGAAATAAACTGAATTGAATATTATCAGCCATAAGAGAGCCACTAGAAGACAGAGGAGGTGCATTCTAATGGGTGGGTTTGGTGGGTGAATGTGGCCTGGTATTTCCCAGCAACTCCATGAGTTCTCAATCTGCTGGTCAAAGTGGTCAGCTAACAGACAGTGACGTGTCCGCAGTTGCTTTCAGTGGGCTTTAAACCTGGAAGTCTTAGACTCAACTTTATTTTTTATCCCTTGGGATTACTCCTTCAGGGAAATTCTGGTTCCAGTAGCTCATATAGAGTACAAACGGTTAAAGCAAGATGCCATTTAAGATAAAAATACAACAGACTGTCAAGGTAGGGGGGAGGTTTTTGAGGACCCAGATGCAGAGATCAGGAGGCGAATCTTGTAGATAGAAAATACAAAAATACAAAGAAACAAAGACCAGAAAACATCAGGGAAAACTTATGTGGAAGCCAGAGACGAGGAAGCAAACAACAACAAGGAACCAGCACTGAGTGCTGCAATGCTGGTGTATATAAGGGGAACAGAACAAAGGATGGACTAATGAGCTGAATATGGAGCAGGTGTGAGTAGAGATAACTAGAAGGAAGCCAAGGGGAAAGGAAACGAGCACAAACGGACGACAGAGAGTAACTAAAGACTGATTGAATATAATGGAAACCTAAACCCAACTGAAGCTGTAATAAATCACGCCCATTTAGAGCTAAGCATTCAAGGCACGAGTAGAACTGTTTTCTTTTGAAAAAGGAAGCTACTGTTGAGTTTCACAGTACATGTTTGACTGATATGAATGTCTTTATGTGACCCTATGCCTAAATGACAAACTAATATTTATTAAGATAACAACCTGTGGTCAGTTTAATAGAATTCGTAGAACTTTCCTTCCGTCACTTTACAAAGTTCTACTGGAACCAACTAATGGGACATTTTTTTGGTAGAGAAAGATCTTTTATTTGCCACTGTTGAGTTTGCTATAGCAATAGCAGCATGATGTTGTTTATATTTAATGGTTTGCTATAATACTGTTTGGTTGTTTTTATCCATCTGCCAGAAATGTGCCATCACTGTGGAGTGTTTATCTGCAGTATATTCACTGCCGGCTTGAAAAAGATTCACCCTTCACAGATAATAAAGATTATCTGACTATTGAGTCTTGGGTTCTTTTGCCTCAGGGCATCTTTGCTTTGCAAGAGTATACAGATAAGATACGTTTAAGTCTAAAACTCTGCACACTGTAGATATGCTGGTGAAGATTCTCAGTCATCCAGACTATAGTCATAAAAAAAAGTTAAAAAACAATCCACTGGACTTGTTTCCAAGTTTGAAGACATTTCTCTTCCCATCCAGGAAGGTTTTTCAATTCAAAATGTCAGAAATAGCGTTGAGTTCAAGGCTCTTAAACAGTAGCCCAACAAAGCCTTGTTTTTGTTTAGAAGACATGCAAATTAAAATGGACGAACAGGTCCACCCTTTGGAATGGGGTGCGTTTGGCTTTCTTTATTAGCCTGCAATGCCCCATAGCTGTCTATGGCTACGTTCACACAGCAGCCTGAAGTGACTCAAATCCGATTTTTTTCCCCATATGCGACCTATATCTAATCTTTTTAAGGCAGTCTGAAAAAAACAAGATCCGATTTTTTCCACTGGACCCAGGTCACTTGGGTATTTGGTCCTGAATCCGATACGTATCTGATCTTTTCAAATGCGACCTGTGTCTGAATGGCCAGGTCGCATTCATCTGACCTGAACGTCATTAATACCTGACATAGGTCACTATTCTGGGTCTTGCTAAACAGAAGCGGCAAGAAAATAACAACCATGATGGAGAGCAGTATTTATGTCTAACCATCTTGAAAACAGATCGCGAGATGTGCTGCAGCACAACCATCCATGTTTACTTCAGTAAACACAGAGCACGCTTGCTTATGACGTCATTGCGTCTCTACTGCACATACGGGACACTTACGTTGTATGAATGCAGTTCAGACAAGAGATCACATGCAAGTCGCGTATGTTTTAGAAATGTGAACGACACGCAAAAAAATTGGATTTCAAAAAAAAAAATCTGAATTGAGCATTAAGGCCGGCAGTCTGAGCACAGCCTATGTCTCTGAAAGGGGTCGTTAGAGGGAATTGTTAGCCTGGCTGAAAAGGCGAGGTCTTGTGTTCCCCTGTAAAGGGGTTGGAGTTGGGGTTGCGATGATATCGGGATCGGATTAACTCAATTGTTGCATTGTACGTCTTCAAACTTAGAAAACAAAGTCCAGTGGATTTGTTTAAAACTTTTTTGGATGCACACCCTAGATATTTTTTATTACATTTTAAGGGCAGTTTTTAACTACTATTCAGCAGGAAATCTGTTTTTACTAATTCTGTTTTGCAACCACATTCACAGGCGACTAGAGTCTAAATACTGTTTTCTAGGGAGAGTATTTGTAAAGCTGGTCTTTACAAGCATCCCTTTGTTGATTCCTTATTGTTCATTTTTCACAGTAGTCAAGATGAGTTCACTAAAGACATACAGGTTGCTCCTACCAGTAGGGTTAACTTATTGTTTTTTACATCCTCAGGTACTTACCAGGGTCAGTTCACTGGTGGAATGCGCCATGGCTACGGTGTACGGCAAAGCGTTCCCTACGGCATGGCAGCAGTTGTTCGTTCCCCTCTCCGTACGTCTTTAACTTCACTTCGCAGCGAGCACAGCAATGGTGCAGTTCTACAACAAGATGTTCCAGCTATAACCACCACCAATGCCTCAGGGGAAGAAACGCCAGTCTCCACCCCTTCCCAGCTGGGACCATCCCGCGGAGGCTTTGCTCTCACTCTCCAGGTGGATCCTGAGGCAGTGAAGCCCAAGAAGAAGGGTCTGTTCAGAAGGGGCTCCCTGCTGGGTAAGCTGAAGAAGTCTGAATCAAGCACATCGCTTTCCAGCCAGAAGAGCAAGATCAGCTTCTTGAGGACGGAGTCGGCCCTGAGTTCCAACATCAGCGATACCAACTCCACCATCAGCGGAGACGAGAGCCTGGCCGGAGCGGAGGATTTCCCCCCCGTGGAGGCTGACATTGACGCCACCACCACCGAGGTCTACATGGGCGAGTGGAAGAACGACAAACGCTCGGGATATGGAATAAGCGAACGATCCAGTGGCCTGAAGTATGAGGGCGAGTGGCTCAACAACCAGAGACACGGCTATGGCTGCACCACATTTGCTGAGGGAGGGAAGGAGGAAGGCAAGTACATGAACAACATGTTGGTGAAGGCCATGAAGAAGAGGGTGATCCAGCTAAAGGGAACCAAGATCAAGCAGAAAGTGGAGCGGGCGGTCGAGGGAGCACAGAGGGCAGCGGCCATTGCCAAACAGAAGGCAGAGATCGCTGCCTCCAGGTAAGAGGAGATTAGCATTTGGTCCTCATTTCTTGTAGAAGTACCTTTATGCTAGGGCTGGGCAACCAAGTAAATTCACATTATCATGGTAGCTTAACTATTTTGGTCACATTTAAAAAGGGTAACACATTGACTTTCTCCCTCCAGCCCTGTAGGTGGCGGTATGTTTAAAAAAGCTTTGTTGCCACACATAAAGAATGGTTGTTTCTCAATACCTGTACTTGTGCATTCTCATATGCCCCTGAAACGTCATCAGCCTCAGCCCCAGCACTGTTCCAATTCAAGAGGAAAAGCAGACAGAGAACGGACAAAGCCCCCAGATGTTGTTCTGGCCCCTCCCTCTTTACCCAGCATGCATAAGAGCAGACTTGTCTGTTCCTGAGACTGATAGCTGTCCCAGCATGCACTGCGGCAGCAGCAGCTTCTAGGTTAGCGCTCACAGAGCTCAGAGTATGAAGTTAAAAGTTCTGTTTTCTGTTGCCGTTGTTCACGATCAGGAATCGTGAGGTCGGGAGAAAATCAAACATGTTTGAAATTCAGTCGGCCGTTGTAAGGTGGGCAAATCGCTCAGTGGGCATAAACAGAAAAGGATTCTTCTTCTTCTTCCTCTCAGAGGAAAACACAGAAGCATGGGGGTGCAATGAGTGTAATGGAGTGATTTCTGTAAAATTGACAGACTGTAGTAGCCACGTTTGCTCAGCCATGTCTTTGCCCAAATATGTGGGGTTTTTTTCTTCTTTTTAGGGCTTTTAGCACAAAATTGCACAAATTGCCAAGGCTGCGCGTTTCACTTAGTGAGCCTCAGATTCCTCTTCTACTCGTTTGGCTGCTTGATAGACGAGTCCGAGTAGCGCCGTCCCACGTTGTTTTTTAGACGTACAGTGTGAGCAGGTAGATCGCATCAGAGCGTCGGTTAACAGTATGAGAACAAGTTGTGAACTTTTAAACCCTGCGATTTCGTCGTACAGTGTGAGCTGAGCTGTGCCTGCAATGGTTGAAAAATCTTACAGTGTATGCCGGCTTTAATTAAGACTGTTATAGTGAGTCTGAATAAAAACACATCGCTGAGGATCTGCCACCGTACACTGACCAGGTTTACCAAACGGACAAACTGTGAGTCTGGGTAACCCCGCAGCGCTGCCATCGGCCTCTTTGCGTTCTCTCATTAATTCATGTCTTGGTAGGTTTGCTGATGTTAAACAGCTCCGTGGGATATTCAAAGCTTGGGATACTTAGGGTGACCAGACATCCGCTTTTTCCCGGACATGTCCTACTTTTCATACCTAAAAAAATGTCCGGGGGGATTTTCGAAATTGTCGGGGATTTTGGTCGACTACAGTGCAGCAGAACCGAGCCGTCAGATCGGGGGCTGGTCCGGGATCCCCGGCAGGCAGGACGAAGCAAACCTTCACCGGGTTGGGTTTGGTCGCTCCGTCCCCAGCTGGCTCCAGAAACCGTGGACCAGCCCCAGAGCTGATAGCTCGGTTCGAATGCCTAGAAATTACATTTAATCAAAAACACTGATCATTTATTGAACAGTATGGAATAATTTCATATTTAAAGTACTTTCAGAAGTTTGAATTCTGAATATGGCCGAAACTTTTCCTTTAAATGACCTGGACTTTATAATCTAAAGAAGCAATTCTCTGAAGAAAGTTGTTTGCATTGGATTTTACCAATTGGCCAAACAGTTAACACTCAAAATCCTATTGTACACAATCAGATATACCTGATAACAGAGGGCAGAGGACAACAAAAAAAATAATCTTGACTTATCGCATAGTAATAAATTATTAATATTAAAAATGTATTTCTGTTTTTTCTTTTTATGTATTTTGTTAAAAATAAGGACTTTAAACCAAAAAAAAGTAATTTTCAGTTTTGTTTTATTCTTGGATCGGGCTTTAAAGGGTTGAGGGAGTGAAATGCTAATCCAGATGTTCTGTTTTTTTATCCTTTTCTCTCAACTTCAGATTTATGGGGGTTTTTTGCCTTTAATTTCATAAAATTCTGATAAATTATTTGCAATTTCTATGGCAACCTTACAAAATGTGGAAAGCTTCAAGAAATATGAGCTCTTGAAGAAATGAAAGATATTTTTGAGTGAATCAGACAAAACCAGCAAGTTACATTAAAGTTAGTGGGCGGTTTATTTCTGAATAGAAATTCATTGATTTTCAGTGATTGGTTTGAGGGAAACCTTGTATTGAAATTCCTTTTCCATGAAATACAGAAGATAATCTTCAACAATCTTTCTATAAAACAACTTATTACAGTTGTTTTTGTTAAATAAGGTTAAGGTTTTCCCATTGATTCACTGTGGAGCTCTCAAACAGCTCTGCTTACAGCTGCTTTTTTAAATTTATGCCTAAGCGTATCTTTCAGGGTTTTTTCTATTTTTTATCCCATGTTGTTTAAAGGAAGTAAAAACAAAAATACTTGGAAAGTCCTCTGGGGCACTTGTTATATTTAGTTACACCTCCTCCAAAATTAAAGTAACTCTCAGATCACAAAGCGACGTAATGTTTGTTCAAGCATCTACATGCAGTTTGTCTTTGACCGTAGAAGGTGCTGGTATTTCTGTCCGCTGTCATCCTCAGAACCCCAAGTAGACTCAGTGTTTACAGCAGGGAGACACTTCGCTGATGCTCTGCAGACTTCTGCAGACACATATCTAAATACTGCACTGCACAAATAAGAACTATGCATGAGCCATTCTTTTAGTTGGTACATCATCATGTGCACCTATATGGAGGACCAACTCTGCCAAACAAAATGCTAACAAACCAATGGGCAGAAGTTGACCCTCTAAGACACCCCCCCCTCCTCATTTGCATAATGAGGCAGAAATTCAGACAGAAATGTAAATATGACAGGCAGAAATAAATAGCGTACATACAAATACAATAAAATACAAAGGAAGAATAAAACAGACAAAAATATTATATCATGCACATAAATAAATAAGTAATAAATAAATAAAGTTGAAGATTATAACAGACAATAAATAAAAAAGGTAATTTTTACAAAGGCGAATAAGTAAAGAAGCAAATTAAAAGAGTTATATACATTTATGTCTCACTGTATAATTTAATTTCTACTTACATTTATTTGTTTATTGTATTTTTCCGGGGCAATTAATTGTCTGCTTATTTAATAATTGAGCATTTATTTGTGTCTGTATTTATTTTTAAATATGGCAGAGTTGGTCCTCCATACACCTACAGCATTGAATATAATGATATATGCAGGCGCATTCATTAAATATGTTAATGTAATATAAATATGGAATATAAATGGAATTTAAACATGTTAAAATGGAAGTTAAACCTGTTTTTTCTCTGATGAGTGTTTAAAATAACTTGTAAAGTTATTGTGTTCCAGCTAAAAGCAATAAAACCTGTTACAGTTATTACAGCTGCTGGAGGGTCAGAGATGTTGGACTTAAGGTTAAAGGTTAAGAGGAATCTCCCGTCTCCAAATTCTTGTTGAGGATTTCATTTTCCACACATAGGGCTGCAACTAACGATTATTTAGCAAATTGATTGATCTGTCGTTCATTTTTACTGATTAATTGATTATTAATCAATTGAAGGGTTCCTTAAAAAGATTTAAACCAGATGAAACCAAAGAATTTCCACTTGTGTAGTTCTGGTTGCAGCATAATGATGGATGAAAACTTTTTTTTCTGATCTTAAAAGCAAAATATTTATATATTTTTTCACAATCTTGGTATAATTCCAGCTCTAAGTAAGTCGCTCTGTCAGCTAAAGGCGTGTTTTAAAGTCTGTAGTCCATTTAACGATTAATCGATTACTAAATTAGTTGAGGATTATTAGAATAATTGATTAATCATTATTAATCCAATTAATTGTTTCAGACTTATAAAAACATTTGCCAATGCAAAGATTAAAGCTTTTTTTTCCTCTGATGTAGATTTATTAACAATATTTATGCTTATGGACATTAATGACTGTCTACTACTAGAAATGCAACTTAATAAGAATGTATTTTTCTGTATTTGTAAAGATCCAAATTAAAGGAACTTTTGCAGAAATCTGTAAAAGACTTAATTTGACAAAAATCTTTAAAAGTGAATGAAGTTATTTATAAGGCAGCCATGTTGGATTATAAAGCCCAAATTAGTAAGAAACATTCACTCATGCACATTCATTTTTTTTTTTATTACACATTAAATCAGTAAATGGACCATATAGTGATGATTAAAAGTATAATGTTCACTGGAAAAACAATCTAGAAATAAGTAACATTTTCTTAAATTAAGTGTATTTACCCTTAATTTGAGTAGGAAAATGAGATAGTTTGCCAATGGAATGAGTATTATTACCCTTAAAATAAGATAATTAGATAAAAAAAACACTAGGACAGTGTAATTGTATCATTTAAAATAAGAAAACACAATCACATTGTCTTATTTCAAGTGCATTTTATCTAAATATCTTATTTTAAGAGTAAAATCATTCATTCCATTGGCAAACTATCTCATTTACCTACTCAAATTAAGGGTAAATGCATGTAATTTGAGATATTTTGACTAATTTCTCGATCGTTTTTCCAGTGTGTGCACTGCAATATTGGGAAGTACCCCCACCTGTCATTCCTTCTAACTGCACTGCAAAAACCATCTGAAATTAAGTAAAATTTCTTAAATCAAGTGTATTTACTTTATTTGAGCAGGTAAATAAGATAGTTTGCCAATGGAATGAGTATTTTTACACTTAAAATAAGTTAATTGGATAACATGCACCTGAAATAAGACAATGCAATTGATTTTTCTTATTTTAAATGTAAATTGTCTTGTTCCATTGGCAAAATTTGTCTTTTACCTCCTCAATCCAAGATCAGATACACTTATTTTAATAAAAAATGACTGATCTAGATTTCGATTTTTTCCAGTGCAACATCCAGGGACTTTATCCGTTCTCGGTCTGCTGTTCTTGTGAGTTGGAACAGCACTAGGGCTGAGGCTGATGATGTTT